CTCAAATCATCAATTTTTAGGTTTAGAAAGCAAATATGAAGAGTACTACATAGAACGTGAAAATTAGCTAAAAGGGCATATTGCATTGTCCCTTTTCTGGACACTCTCAATAATACACACATGCACTGTCTTTAATTCAGGTTACAATTTTTTTTTTTTTTTTTTAAATGGCAATTCACCATATCTTCTCCGGTTCTCTCAGTCACAGTAGAACAACACACCCAGATTTCGAAGTATAGAAAGAGAGAGAGAAAGGGCGACTCAGAGGGAAAAACTCGAAGGGAAAGGAGGAATCTTGAGAATCTCGAAAGGGAGCGGCCGACAGGGGTTGGGAGATTATGAAGCTGTCGGCGAAAGCCTCGTCGAGTCCTGGACGGGTGGAGAAGTATCCGCCGCCGTTGATGCGGTTTCTGAGGAGCAATGTGGGGAGCAGGAGTAAGGGGAGGTCGCGTTCGAGTCCCATGTTTGTACGGAAGAAGAACACTGCCATTGAGACACAGGAGCCGTCGTCGCCGAAGGTAACATGCATGGGGCAAGTCCGGGTCAGGCGGTCGAAAAAACCGGAGAAAACACCCGTTGGTCCCGCCAGAAATGGCGCTCCGACGCGGTGGCGGCGGTTCAAGTGGATCCGCAATGTGCTGTTTTGCCTTCGTTTTTCTAGGAAACTAAAGCCTAAGGCCTTCCGACGGCCCTCCTGGTGCAAGTGGGTAGTATCATTCAATTGGGGTTCTCTCGGAAAACCGAAGATTAGGGAAGACTCATCAAGAATAGAATCAAATTTCCGAAGCAAGGTTGAAGATTCCGTCCAGGAAGCCGGAGAAGACTCCGACGACAATGAAAACGGAGAAGAAGAATCCAAGATTTTTGCGTCTTCCTCCTCCTCACCACCCAAAAACGCTTTGTTGTTAACTCGCTGTAGGTCCGCACCATACAGATCTTCTTCTTTAGCAAGTAGATTTTGGGGTTCGCCTTTAAGCACTGAAGAAACAAAACCAAAACCAGAAGAACAAACAACAAAACTAGAAAACGGAGAACCCGACAAGCCCACATCGGGAAGAGAATCCATTAGCAGAGATTCGGAGCAAGAATCAAAAACAGATCCAGAAACTGAAGAAAAGTCAGGTTTTCTCAATCATTCTGAAGGTAAAATTGCAAAATCTGCTAATAGTGAAGTACCAAAAGAGGAGCAATTAGCAACCATACGGCCTCCGATTCTCACCAGGTGTAAATCAGAACCGGCGAGAACCACAGTAAAGCCCGATCCAGAGATGATTTTCTGGAAGAAAAGAAGGTTGGGTTTCACGTGATTGATTCAATTTGTCGACTTTTCTCTTTGCTGATCCATTTTCCCTCATTTCTCAGGTTTTCTTGACCATGTCTAGATTGAATATAGTTTTTGGAAGCATTTTTTTGCTCTCAACTTCTTCATTACATTTGACATCTGGAGCTGTATGAGAGAATCTCAATGGCTCCATGGCAATATATAAAGCTAAGTGGGTTTTTTATTTTTTTTTTTTCTTTTCCAATTTTTAATCCTACACTGAAAGATGAAACAAGAAAGAAATTGTTTTTGTGTGTTGTTGATCATCTTCTCTTCTGCAACACCTCTCATGGGCAGTTTGTATTTATTACTACTTTCAATGGCATTAGAACCATATTTTACTGGAACCACTTTTGTTGTTTTCTGCCTTTTTTTTAGCTTTTGCTTGATGGGCTTTTCTGGGTTCTTGATTAGTTTTATGCATCTTTGGATACTCTGACCAACCTTTTGTGTTTGGTAGAAAGCTTATATGGTTATCTGCAATGAAATGGGCCAGCAACATCTTATTTTAATCTTGTAATTCTATTTTTCATCATTTCCTTTTAGACGAGATTATTTATGGTAAACTATAAAGTAAAGATGGGTCATTTGATTGGAAAACTTGGTCAAAGAATGAATAATTATGTTTAGAGAAAATAGGCATCATTTCCTTTACATAGGATAAGAAATGTGGGGTTGGAAGGTTTTCTTCTGTTTGGTTGTGTTCAAATGGGAAAAGGATTGTCTTGACGCTGCTTTAGGGTCTGATATGAAAAAAATGGGTTCGGACATATCTATGGAATACAACATGAGGAGAAGAAAAAGGGAAGGAAATTGCTTTAGATGTCTTGTATCCCTCTCTTGTCCATTTGTTTCAGCTGTCAATTTTTTATTTGGGATAGAGGAAGCAACCTGGCAATGGCTTCTAGTTTTGCATTTTAGAGTGTTACTCAGGAATCATTCCATTTTTATGCCTTGGCATTGTAAAAAAGGCTTTACTTGAGCTTGGATTGTTAAGTGATTCACAACTTTTTCTTCATTTAGGAAACATGAGTTTAAGCCAACACTTTAGTTAAAATAAGGCCTTGGGGATGTTTCCAACATAATGAAGCTTTTAACTAACTATCAACCAAGGTGTGATCCCCAAATCTCACTTTGAGAAGGAGTTATGATTGTGAGTGATATATAAAGACTATGATTAACCACTCTTAACAATTTAAGCCTGAATTATTAGAAGTACGTGAATCTTGTCCTGTAAGGTTGTTAGGCCAATAGATACTTCAACTTGAGTCATTTCAATTGGTGATCTAATCCTTTTGGGAGGGAATGACACTTTCGCTATCTGCTTTACTTAATCTTGTTTTCTTCAGGAGTATAGCATAATAATTCTTGAAACTCGACCACTGTGTTCTTGTTCTGAACCCCAAATCAATTACCCAGAATGTATCATGTATGATGAAGTTTGATTACTTAGAGATTAGGGTATTGTTTTAGATTAATTATCAAGCAGCTACCAATCAGCATCCACGCTGATCTCCTTAATTGATGTACCCGAACAGGGGTTTGGCGGATTCTTGTATCAGACTGTCAGTTCCAAACTGTATATTTGTAGGACAATGTATGGATATATACATAATTATGTAATTTTCCAAAGCAGGAA